CACACACACACACACACACACACACACACACACACACACAGACACATAGCAGCGGAATCTCAACCCCCCACCCGCTCGTTCTTCACCCCCTCACTCCCGATACCCAACTCTTTTGGCCACCCCCCCCCATTCCCCTCCATATCACATCCTCCGCTTCACCTCGCACACATGAGCTTTCCTTCGTTCCTTGACCGCCTCCAAGATGCGTTCGCTCTTCACTTCCGCGGCACGGTCTTGAAGTGGCACACGGTCGTCTCGTCGTACTTCTCCCCCTTCTTGATCAGCGTGCTTGGGAAGGAGGGAATGTGCGGCGAGTTGGGGAAGTACTGCGTCTCGAGGCAGATGCCGCTGTGGCGCTGGAAACGCTCTCCCGGCTCCCCACTGGCGTTCTCTGGCAGGTGGTTCGCCGTGTACACCACCACCACAGGCGATGTGGTCTCCACGCTCATTGAGATGCCACTCTTCGGGCTGAAGATAACCGCCGCCTCACGCAGCGTGGAGTCCCACGTCTCGAGCGCGACGGGGTCGTCGTAGCCACCAGGGTTTCGGCCCTCTTTGCGTGTCTCCTCCATTCCCTCTCCCAGTGGGCGGCACTTACGGTAGTCGTGCGGCGTACCCTCCACTGGCGTCATGCACCCTGTTGGGATGAGGTTCTTCGTCTCCGCCACGTAGGCAGAGTGCAGCTGCAAGTGGTGGTTCACGATGGGCTCCGGCAGGCGGCGCGGCGCCGACGGGACGCCGTTGAGGTTCCAGTACGCGTGGTTGCAGAGGTTGATGTTCGTTGCGTCAACGGGTGTGGCGTCAGACAACACCGCCTGGAAGTTCCACTTGAGCGTTGCGGGTTTATTCTTCAGAATGGAGTACGTTGCCGTGACGAACAGCTCGCCTGGGAAGCCCTGGTCGAGATGGGGCGAGATGAGGTGGAAGGAGATGCCGATCTCATCCTCGCCATCGACTAGGATGTACTTCCACGGCCGCTTCGAGAAGCTCTCCGGTCCACCGTGCAGCGTTGTCGTGCCCTCGTTCTGGAGCAGCTTGAACACCTTCCCATCAACCGTGAGCTCACCATTCGCGATGCGGCCAGAGTAGCGGCCACACGTGCGGCCCATGTAGGACGTGTCCCCCGCGAACTCCTCCGGTGCGTCGTGGCCGAGCGTCAACTCCACCCACCCATCGGCGTCGCTGACCGGCTCGCCGATGAGGTGCGGGGCGCGGTACTGCACCGAGGTGAGCGTGGCGCCTGTAGTGAGCAA